CGCGCGAAGTTCCGTGAACTTTTGCTAGTAGTGTTGACAGGGCTTACGCAAAAAATGTGTCCAACACGAGTGAACGCGTCTTATGCACCCTTCTCCCTCCGGCACGTTCACTTAATGGTTTTCATTGATGTTTCAAAATGAATGAGAAGAGGGCGGCAAAATACAGGCGGCCCATGGGCGGCAAGTAGGTAAATCCGGCCATGACCGTTTAACCTCGCGTCAACTTCTGTAGGACCATAGGAGGTGACTAGCTTCGCGACTAGGTCTTTGGAGCAGGCGTGTTGTCGTCATTTGAACCGTAAGTTTTATGAAAAAAGGAACTTCATCGTGAGTTAGGTTTTCGCGAGAGAGCGTTGTTACTTACGCATACAGAAAAAATTGGCATCCACCTCCCCCCACTCGAATCAGTGAAGAGAGGAAGAAAAAGGAGAGGAAGGAAGAGGAAGAAAAGGAAGGAAGAGGAAGAAGAGAAAGAAAAGAGGAAGATGGAGATGAAGATGAAGAAGAAGAAGAATGATAACAAGGAGATGTAGGAAGAAGAAGAAAAAATAGAAAGAAAGGGAGGGGGAGAGTACGAAGAAAAAGAGAAGGGAGAGGAAGAAGAAGGATAAAAAGAAGAAGAGGGAGGCGGAGGGGTAAGAAGAAAAAAGAGGAAAGGAGAGGAAAAGGAGAAGAAAAGGAAGAGGAAGGAATAGACAAAAAGGGAAAAGATAAAGAAGAAGAAGAAAACAAAAAAGACGGAGAAGAAGAGGGCAAATAGAGGAGGAAGCACAAGGGACTTTCTGAAAAAGTAAGTACATATAAGAGGAATGAGAAATTTTGGCATCCTAACGGTTGGCACCCTACGTGATTACGTATATTTTGTGCCCCGCTGTCCCCCCCCCCCCTTGACGGGCCTACCGAGGGCAATTAAACTTCAAGACGCGTTTGCTGGTCTGAGCAAAAATTCTGAGCATTACTCCGCAAATTATCCGGCAGGAACGGGATGATTTACCTCGAAGACCCTTCAAGCATGCCCTTAGCCTTATCTAGATCATCATATCTCAGGCTCTTTGTTGCGGTATCCTGCCATTCAAGTAGCGCGGACGTGAGTCTCGCCGTCTCACGAAGCAAAGAGGATGACCGGTCGTAGATGTCAAAAATAATGCTGTTCGGTTAGACGAATTTTTTAAATGAGTCGAGATGATCATGACCCAGTAACATCCAAAGCTCGGAAGGCCGATTTTTCCGGAGTCCGACGGACAAGAAAGCCCAAGACCCGACCCGACCCGACCCGCGCACAACCGATTGTGTTCATTGGACCGGTGCAAGCCCACCACGGTCGCGTGCCCGCGTGCTAGACTGGTCTCGTCTCGACGCATGTACGCGTCCGACTATGTATGTAAAACATGTGTACTACATGAACATGCCCGTATTTCAGCGTGCTAACGGCATGGCAGCGCGGACAGTTATGGCGCATTTATCTATAGAACGCAATCTTCCTGTGCGCGATCGAGGAACGGAGAAAACTTACAGTCGGTAACACGGTATTCTAAAAAAACTCATAACTGTTAGAGGTGATTCGTCCAGGATTCTGGCTTGGTTGAACTGGCGTGCGATATACTGCATCGACTAAGGCAAAAATCTCGGTAGATTTTGCATTTTTAGCCAAAAGCAGAACAATAGCCCCAGTGCATGCGTCAAGTGCGCAAAATGTGAGTGCGTTCGTGTCCTTCGCAAAATATCTACGCGCGGCTGGGGGGCGACACCACGTACCTCCATTCCAGTGTTTCAAAATCTCCTCTCCTCGTTTATTTTTTCTAAAAGGAGTAGGTTAGCTTTATAGCTTGAAATTATAATACAAAATATTCTGCTAACAGGGAAAAAAAAAACTGAGGAGGTTTTCAAGAAATTACATTGACTACTTAGTTTTCCAAGGAAATAATAAGGTACACTGAAAAAAAAGATTGGTAGAATTTACCACTCCTCCACCAGGGCCGGATGGACCTACTTGGCGCCCATGGGCCGCCTGTATTTGGCCGTCCCCTCCTCATTCGTTTTGAAACATCAATAAAAACCATCAAGTGAACGTGTCAGAGGGGGAGGGGTGCATAAGACGCGTTTACCTACTCGTGCTGAATAAATTTTTTGCGCAAGCCCTGCCAACACTACTAGCAAAATTTCATGGAACTTTGCTTCTCCATTTATAAGAAATGAACCAAAAAATTATGAAAGAACAAACATAAATGTTGTATAATAATTTTAACTTCCGCCGCTGCGCCGCGCTGATCGCACTGTGTTTGGCGCAATGCGTGAAGTATTCTTGCAGTCTTGTAGGCGCTATGCGTTTCACGCCAACCGCTCCTGACCGCACTGTGTTTGGCGCAATGGGTGAAGTATTCATGCAGTCTTGTAGGCGCTAATATGTGTTACATGCCGACCGCCGTGCCGAAGGCTTGTCCTTTTCATCTCAAGTCCTCGTCATCATTCCTCTCTGCGCTAAGCTCCAGGCCAAATTGCGTGTTTAGTTCCTTATCCTCTCTTAACTCGACTAATTAAAGATGCTGTCTCTTGTATCACCGAGAAACGACAAAATTAGAAATTACTATATTCTCAGGAAAGAGAAATTTTGTCTTCGTTTCTCATCGATAATTTTTTTTTCTGAATCCGATTTTTTTTATACCTACATTTGAAAAAATTGCAAAATTTGCCGCCATGGGCCACGGCTCATGTGGCCACCCCCTTAATCCGGCCCTGTCCTCCACGTTGTATTTCACACAGCGTGAATTCGAAGTCGATTCTGCCAGAGGAATGGTTACCTGTACCAGTATATAGTAACGTTTACCTCTCTTCTGGCAGAATTGACTCCGAATTGACGCTGTGTGAAATAATACAGCGTGAAGGAATGGTAAATTCTACCAATCTTCTTTTCCATTTGATGACTGGAAGTATGACTCCGTCGCAAACGGAGGCACGTGGTCTCGCATTAGCCATCGAATGTCGTTCACTCCAGGTTATTCCTTCACAAAACATAATTCAGTTGTAAACATTGTTACAAATTATTATCTATCAACAATTCGTCAGATTATTTGAACACGCTTATCCACAACAGCTTGCAGCAGCCATTTTAATCGATAAAATCACCATTCAATGCGCCTCCGAGAGCTACGAATTGAAGGAGAGAGAACCGAGTAGGCCGGTTACAAAGGTTCAAAGGTTGCAGTCATATGCAATCCGACATTCAAAGAGGTATAATGAGAGCGTCGTTTGTTGAATGGCATTATCCTATTCTTCCCGATAGGCACTTGAATGAATAGCAAGTAGGAGGAGTAGATTCTTGATTGTCCATGAAGTTCGCGTCGCAAAGGGCTAAATACTTATTTTGAGATATCGTTGAGTAATCCCACTACTGAATCCAAAGTTTTTTTAACTGACCTATGACCTCAATATGGTCATAAATTTTACACACAAAAGGATATTTTGGTTCGATATAGTGACCATTGTGACACGATTTCTAGATTGCGTGATGTACGTATTTTAATGAGGGTCATTGGGTAGTAATCATTTTTCTCTCTACTGCCCACGAAACAGCGCCGAGGAAGATGCCATGGGAAAGACTTGGAAAAAATACCTAAAGGTATGGAGACTAAAATTTCTCGGTACGGCGGGAAAATGGTTTTGGGGTCACAAAGATTGGTTTTTGAAGTTTCCCGTGTTTATATCCGTGCACTCGGAATTGCTGTCAAAGGGCCACATTTCTGGTGTTACAAATTTTGTCAATATTGAGCTGAATGAATCAGAATGTTTTTAGCAACTGATATTAAAAATCAATTTAATTTTGACTCCGTACCGGTTTTTTAATGCCCTGAACACTTTGAGTCTCCATCCTCTTGCATATTTCACCCGATACCGTCGCAAATTTTGTCTATCAAATTACCAATATCAAGACCGGATTCACCTACTTGCCGCCCATGGGCCGCCTGTATTTTGCCGCCCCCTCCTCATTCGTTTTGAAATATCAATAACGGGGGAGGGGTGCATAAGACGCATTTACTCGTGTTGAACACATTTTTCGGGAAAGCCTTGTTAACACTACTAGCAAAAGTTCACGGAACTTTGCGCGAAAGTTAATCTCCGTGAATCTATCTCTGTGTGGACAAGGCCTTCCGTTCATGAGAAATGAACGAAAAAATTATAAAAGAACAAGCATACATGTCTATCAATGATTTTAACTTCCGCCGCTGCGCCGCGCGGACCGCACCATGTTTGGCAATGTGTGAAGTATTCCGACAGTCTTGTAGGCGATATGCCTTTCACGCCGACCGCTGCTGAACGCACTGTGTTGGACGCAACGCGTGAAGTATTTACGCAGTCTTTTAGGCGCTATGCGTTCCACGATGACCGCACTGTTTGGCGCAACGCGTGAAGTATTCATGCATTCTTATAGGCGCTATCCGTTTCACGCTGACCGCAATGACCACACTGTGTTTGATGCAATGCGTGAAGTATTCATGCAGTCTTGCAGGCGCTATTATGTGTTACATGCCGATCGCCGCGCCGAGGGCTTCTCCTTTTCATCTCAAGTCCTCGTTATCATTTCTCTCTTAGTCGCGACATTCCAGGCCAAATTGCGTGTTCGGTCTCTCTCTTAACTCGACTTATTGAAGGTGCTGTCTCTTGTATCACTAAGAGACGACAAAATTAGAAATTACTGTACTCTCGGGAAATGAGAGATTTTTTTGCCTTTTCTCGTTTGTAATTTTGTTTTTATAAATCCGATTTTTTTTATACCTACACGTTAAAAAATTGCAAATTTTTGACGCCCCTTAGATTTGCCGCCATGGGCCACGGCCCATGTGGCCACCCCCTTTATCCGGCCCTGACCAATATCATTCATTCGTGGAACTGCTGCTTCCATTTGATAGAGAGCTGAAAAAAGGAGGTGTCAATTGTTTGATAGTTGAACGAAAAGCGTCAATTCCAGGTTAAAAATTAACCGTCACTCTCTGGTATGTTCGCAGGTGAACGAAAACAATTTGCGAAACCTCTTGACACGAGAAGAATGGGAGCATCTTGTTGGACCTGTCAGTCATGAAGGTAAATGAACGAAAATACACTCTCAGGCTTTGAACCTATTTAGCTTGCTTTGCTTGGTTGCTTTTTTAAAGTGGTCTGTGTGTATGCTAGAGTGTGAGTCAATTGTTTATAGTTATGAATAAATGAAGCACAAGTACATCACTTAAATATTAATAAATTGATTATATTAAATTTAATAATATTTAGGTGCTGATTTATAAGTGCAGCATTTAAATACCTATTAAAATAAAGTAAGAAATAAAATTAACTTGAAACTTGTAATTGGCTTGTTTTTTAGAGTTTAGAATGTGTTAGAATTCTGGGACACAGAGGTGGCACTGATCGTTGGCCAAAGTGCGAAACCACCTACTTCAATCGCGGTGTTTTAAAATTTCCGCTTTTTCGTCGAATAGAGAGAAGCCAACTTTATAGCCTGAAATCTGCACAGAAAATTCTGCCAACGGAGAAGAAAGATCAAGGGAACTCCGTTGACATGGGCGGAAACATACGGGGTTGGGGGGGGGATGAAATTTATAGACAAAGCTATAGACAAAGAAGACAAAAGAGATATGGAGGGATCCTATTGGTGGAAGTGGGTGGTTGCAATGGACAAACGAGGTAGGTAATAGATTACCTAACTAACGACCGGCACGAGGCCCGATAGTCAGTCCATCATTTTCTCCCTCAGTATACCTACGAGAACCTCCCATTTCAACCAATAGGATCGCTCCGTACCTATGTCTTCATTGTCTATCGCTTTGTCTTTAAATGTCAATAATCAGCCCGCGGGAATGCTATCTTGGAAATTTACTTACATACATATCAAGCCGCTAACTCAGCGCACAAGAGCGCTCTGCGACTCCAAATCGCCATCGGAATCGATCCTCCCACAAATCATCGGGCAGATTACACCGTCTGATCTCCCCCTCCACTCCCTCCCGCCAACCTTTTACTGGACGTCCACGCCGCCTTCTTCCGGCGACATTCCGGCATTTTACTTTTTCGGCGAAATTTTGCGCGGACTCATGCGAGTGTTCCTCTCGGCGGAGAGGAGTGAAGATCTGGGGCAAGGAGAATCGTCGGCAAATGGGAAACGGAAACGAGAGTGAGGGAAGTAAAAGGCAAAGAGCGCGGGCGCTGCAATTCGCGCGGAGCCGGGGCGGGGGCGGGGAAAGCGCGGCGGACGAAGAAGAACAGAATACAATTAGACTAAACACCTGTTAAGTAACTCAATCGGCGAGTGTGAACTACTTGCGCCTCCGGCTTCGGCCGCGGCTCCGAGGAAAAGCGAAACTAGAGAGTCGTCCACCGGGAATCGCAAGGAACGGAGTCCGCCGGGAACACTATAACGATCGCGCGGCCGACTTTCCACGCTTCCATCCAGAATCCCCGGTGATTCCGTAAAACGGCTGCCACCGCACCGTGCAGCGCGGCGCGGCGTCGCACAGTGGATCGAGGCAATGAGTGAGGTCGCACATGAATTTTTCTACTAGAACTGCAAATGAATTACATTTTGCAATAAGGAACCACTATTTCTGGCCAATTTCAGAAACAGCGTACATGCCATTAGTTTCCCTACGCAGTCATGTGCTTTTATGGAAGAGCCAGAGATAGTGGTTCCTTATTGCAAAATGTAATCCAAATATCCCGATGTTTATTCCGTCAAATTTTTAAAAAGGTGCTTGTTGAAGGAAGTGTTACAAGAAAACCAATGGGATTATTTTTAAGGCATCGGCATTATGTGGTAACGGAGACATACGCTTACAATGAAGCGATGTGGGTCTAAAAAAATACAAGAACTGAGCTGCCGGGCTAGACGAGACTCTGTAGGCCACATGCCTCAAATTTATAGGAAAGGACAAAATGAACAAGAAACACAAATTTTGATCGACGTGACCAAAAATTAATCTTAAGACAACATTATCGACCCGCCCGATGAATTAAAGGGGCTACTCCTTACCCTGGTAAAAATTGGCAGTAGAATCTGTGTTCCAAATTATCATAGACTTAAAGCCGGCTGTAAGATTTCCAATATCTTCTGTAGCCGGCTGTACAATTTCTTACAGCCTTTTATAGCCGATGGCGATTAAGCATTAGCCAGACGATAAAGTTTATGCTAGACGTTACTCCATACGGATACTAGGACTTAGTGAGTTTTTGGACTACCGCTCTCTTTTTGTTTCATAGTATCTTGATATATATTTTGCGAGGAAAGCTCCGTACTTTTGAAGGATGCCTGTCATTCTTAATATGTTGGAGCGCTTTCAATTTCCTATGATACTGTGCAATACTTCTGGTGTGAAATAGTTATGCTTCATACGCCGTGGCACGCTGCGGCGCGGCGGGCGGGCAGAGAGCGCGAAACGCGCATTGGCGCCAACAAACCTAACAGGGATACTTCACGCATTGCGCAATGCGTGAAGTATCCCTGTTAGGTTTGTAGGCGCCAGTGCGTCGCCGCTCCGCTTTGTGTTAGGCTCTAATATTTAATCTCGCGGAGTCAGCGTTTTTCAACTCATGATTCTGAAATGTTTGCACACTCTGTATGGATTATTCCCATTTTGATTGATGAAAAAAATGTGTTTTAAAGGAAAATATAATGTGTGTTTTGTAAACATTAAGGTAGTTCCGTAAAAAACTTAATGATTTCCAAAGCACACGAATTTCTACACAATTTCTTATAACCTTTTTATAGCCAATGGCGATAAAGTGTAAAGCCCGGCGACAGAAACTATAGCCCGACTGTATACTTTTTTATAGCTTCGTATAGCCCGGCTATATGATTTGCTCCGCTTTCTACAGCCAGCTATATGATTTTCTATAGCCTTCTTTAGTCGGCTATAAGAACTCCTATGGTATTTTGAAACGCAGCTCCTATCGCCAATTTTTACCAGGGTATGGATTACCCATCACTTATATCCTGTCCGAGCCGAAAACGAACTGAGGCACGCTCGACCAACCAGAAAGCAGCACCTATGGCGCACTGGAAAAAAAACATATTGGATCTGGGGTCCAGACTCTTAAAAACATCGACAAGAAAAATTACTCTTGATTCAATCAGAATCTAGCTTAAACCAGGAACCAAGCCTCTTAATTTAAGCGGATTTCGTTTTGATTCAGGCAAAAATCCGATTGAATCAAGAGTATTTTTACTTGTCAATGTTTTCAAAAGTCTGGACTCTAGATCCAATGAGTTTTTTTTTTTTTCCAGTGAGTCGTATAAGATTGATTATATCCGTCCAATAGAACTAAATGAGGCACTTTTTACATTAAATTAGCTTAAAACTATTTTTTTTATCTTTTCATCCTTGCTGAAAAGAAAAGGCAAATATTCTTTATCACTTTTTTATTCCCTATATCCCCCATCCTCATGCATTTCTTTACGCCGAATCGACAAAAACATGACAACGAGAAAGGGGATCGCTTTTCTATCCTTGCGTTAAAGTCTCCGAGAGAACCAGTTATTATTAAATTAAGCTGAAGAAGAAAGTAAATAAGTCAGTTTGCAAACTCTGAATATTTAAAAAAAATAAAATTGAAAAATTGAAGAGTTGAAGTCGAGGCAGAATGTTTCATGAAATATTTTTGTCATCATAAAAACAATGATGTTAACTGTAAGACTCTGGATCGACAAAATCATCAATGACCATCCGTGATAACAACACCTAGATGCAACTATTCGTGTTTAATGGATGACCGTCTAGCATATACTTAAAATTGAAGGCGTTTTGACCTCCTTAGAGGTGGCCATACTACAACGAAGTTTCCGAATTTTGTCCGATTTCCTGCATTGACTCGTTGCTTTGTGCGCCGGGTCATCTCGGGTTCTTTTTTGCTGCTGAAAACCAGGCCGTGCGGAGCAACGCAGCGTCGCGACGCTCGGCGTCTCATGGTCAAAGCCATGGTGAAGTCGACGACTGCGGAGTGCGGCTCCGTCTCGGCTGGATGCACGTACGCAACGACCTATCCGCAGGAGTTTCCCTACGCTCCGCGGGTTGTTTTTCGGGAGGCGTCCTCGATCGGCATTCCCAAATCACCCGCCCACCCGATCCGGTGTCGCTCTAGCGCGACGTCATTTCGGTTCGGGGCCCGAATAGAGTATGACGTCATTAACCTTCTTTGCTCCGTCACTTTGGTTCGGTTACCGTGCTTGTCCACGTGCTGCGGGGTAATAAATGTGCGTGATGCACATGCGTCAACTTATGTCATGGATTCTCATCATCCTGAGAGGATGTATGTTTGGACGTATTAATGCTAGAAGGAACTATGTGCAAGTGGAAAGATGGGATGTATGGCCCGACCACTAACGAGCACATACCGTCTTTGCACTTGCACATAGCTCCATTCAGCATAAATACGTCTATTTTAGAGATCCGGCACTATTATCTTAGCTGTAAATTCTATGGGTTACTTACGGAAGTCAATGCTTAAATTCGCCTGATAAATTATGATGATACATGACTGCAGAGTTGAGCAATTTTTTGGTTCACCATAACACTGGCCTGGTTTGCCAAAACTCGCCAAGCATAGTGCTCACCCCGCGACATTCATCCAGTCATTTGACAAAAGTTATGCTCAATACGTTGCTCATCATCATCATCATTGAGTTGGAAATATAGCGTTGACTCTCTTGCACTTGCTTCCACCAATAGGATCCCTTCATACCCCATTTGTCTATGGCTTTGCCTATGGCTTTGTCTATCAATCGGACGTATTTCTACCAAACAGACCTGTATGGAGGTGAGGAATATGGGGTGTGCTCGTTAGTTCTCTTTGCGTAAGAGTGAATGAGAATAATAAAGCGCCAGTGACGTCAGCGGCAATGAAAAAGCGGGGGCGCACGAAAGGATCGTCGTCGGGGGCATTAACTCATGAGCCCTGTTCACAACGCTCTATTGTCATGCCCGCGGCTCATGAATCCCGCATTCAGTTGCCACATAGGTCTGTTTGATAGAATGTAATATCCCGCTTTTCCAATTCTTCAAAAGGAATCACACCCACTTTTACATTGCTTCTTATGC